GCCCTCTTTGTTCATTGATTCAAAACCAACAGGAGGCAGGAAGTTCTCACTTGCCAGGAAGCAGGAAGTGCCCAGGTGGCTGCTTTGCAGCCTGGCGGTCCCCGTGTCCACTTCCGGGAAGGCAGTGGGGTCCGGAGTCCCCCTGGCCCTTTCCCAGAAGTGTATCAGCAGATCAGTGGGGGCTGAACTGTACACCTCTCTGAGGTGTGTGCGTGGGGGATCACGCCTTTCTTGTGCCTCAGCTGAATGAAGAGTGTGACCACCATGCTCAGACCCCCAAATAACTCTATCCCTCAAGTTTCTCCTGAGTGCACAAGGCCTCAGGCCGTACGGTCTGCCTAAGAATAGCTAGAAACTCAACCAGAGACCAGTGTAGGTTGAGTGATATGGGCGTGAACCAATCTGCTGGAGCTGTGGGGAACCCTGAGAATGGGAGACCAGAGTATACCAGGGCAGGCCCCCCCAACCCCCACCGTGTCAGGCCACACCTGGGGCCTGCGGTCACTGCTGGCATCTTCATAACGGGAAGTGGCAGAACTTGTGCTGGAGGGATGCGGACAGAAGGAAGGTTAGAGGGATTCAAACAATCATTAAGAAGTAGCTGAAGGAAACAGCATGGGAATCACTCTTAATCAGTTGTAGAGGTCATCACTAACTACAGACAGAAACAAACTAGCTCTGTCCAGAGGGGACAAACATGAACAATATTCCTATTTTACTACATCCTGAAGCACTTCAGAGAGAGGTTAAAATTCATGAGCCCTGTCCTCAGTGAGTTGTTGATTACTGAGAAGCACAAAGGCAATCAGAACTTGGGTTCACAGTGGCTTTTTATGGCCGTCTTAACATCAGGCTCTTTGCAAATCTAGGTTTAATTTTTATTTATACACTGATGCTTGATACTATGGGAGGAAATCACAATCAACATATGGTAATTCAAATATTAATAATAAAATTTGGCTATTTTTAAAAAAATCACCAGCCAGTGCCTGCTGCTATCTGTATTATTTTCCCCACTTCTACTGTGTTAATTTAGTTTGCATTAAATTATTCTAATGTTCTCACTCTTTCTTGGAATCCAAAAAAAGAAATAGCTGAAGGAATGGAATGTTTGTTCCGACTCTATAGGGCATCTGGGATCTGTCTTCAGTTGCTGGGAGGGGACCCTGCTACAAACATCAATGATGATATTAGCTCACATTTATCTAATGCTTTCTCAGTGTAAGCTCTATTCTAGGCATTTACGTGTGATTTTCAAATTACCTTACCAAATACAAACCATAGTGATCCTCATTCTGTCCATGAGAAAGCTTTAAATGGATCATGAATTGTGAGTTTCATTAGAAGGTAACACAAAGGAAAATGCTGCTTGCCACCACGAGGCAGGTCAAGTAGGAGCAAGAGCTTTCCGACATTAACTCTCTCTAGAGGAGGGTGGATGTGGGTGGGGAAGAGGAAGGGTGATAACATGTGTTGGATGTTGGCCACACGGTGGACATGGCTTTGGAAGCTTCCTATGTATTGTTTCAGTTAATCCTCACAAGAACCATGTAAGACAGGAACTAGTAGCCCCGTTCCACAGATGAGGAAATTGAGGCTCAGTATGTAAATCAACTGAGACCTTTTCACCTGAAACTAATAGTCCAGGTATCTTAGGCTCTAAAGTCCATTGTCACTGCTGCTTAAACAAAGGTGATGGTGCACAGGGGTCCCAGAGTGCAGGTCCCAGGCTGGCTTTCTCTGCTATACACCTGCTTCAACCTGAATTTCACAAGTTGTAACTGCTTTATCATTCATCTGTCCCACTAGACTGCAAGATGTGTGTGGGCAATGGCCACATCTATCTTGTTCAGTGCTGTATTCTCAGCACCCAGAAATGTTTGAAAGAATAAGTGAATATCAGTAAGGATCCCTTGTTATGACAGGGGATGTTAGAAAGAAGATAATTAATCTCTTCTGGGATGTTAAAGGGAGATTAGGGATGAATTAGCAGGAATTCTAATCCCAGCAGAGCTTCAGAATCACCTGAGGGATATTTATAAATGCAGATTCGTAAACCCACATCAAACGCCCAGAATCAGACTGTTCGGGAGCAGGGTCTGGGTATCTGTCTTTTGTATCACTCCCCAGTCACTTCAGCTTACTTGGCCAGGTTTGGAAGCCCCTGTGAATGTATCTGAGCCTGGGGTCCTTTGACTCTCATGTAATCCTGTGGCTCTTGGGCATCCCTTCCCTCTTCCCCCTGCTTCTCTGCTGGGGCTTACAGGCCCGGCCATGTGTGTGTTTGGAGCCGGGATGGAGGTCTGGTGCTGGTCAGGTTTGGGGTGTTATCAGCTGGGTATTTACTGAGCAAAGTTCAGTTAGGGCAGCGCTGTGGATCCGGGTTTAATAGATATCTGGGCTTCCGGGCTTTTGATTCAGAGCCCAGGTCCCTGGGCCCTTATCAGTGATACCATGTGAGCTGAAGGCCCAGTGCTACTTGCCTTTCTGGGCTGACCCAGGTCTTCCCTCCAGGGGTCCAAGGCACCAGGCTTCCCTCTGGGAGGGCAGACTGTCCTGCCCAGCAATGGCTGCTTTGGACTTGCTCTCCTGGTTGGGGAAAGCCCTGTGTCCCAGCCCCTGGTGCTTCAGTTTCCTGGCCTTGATGACAAAAGGCAGAGGGAACCTTCTCTGAGAAATGAAGCTGGACACTCTCTGGCCCCAGGCATATGGGTCACCATTGGTTATTTGTCCTGGGGGCCACAGAAAACCTGGGAAGCACTCACTGCAGCCCATTCTAAATGTCCAGGAAAGATGAAGGGAAAATGAGTTGGCAGCGCATTTTAAGAAACCATCCAACCAATTAATCAATCAATAACTTGTTAAGTTTATTATGGACATGCTACTTGGGAAGATACAGAGAAATAAGGTATACTATTTCACCTTGGGAAGTTTATAGTCTAGCTAGGGGCATAAGAAATTATAGCAAAAAAGGAATTACTAATTATTACATAGCAGACTACAGATTTATTTGAATGCTTGTATTTGAATTCTGTGAAAGTGAAAGTGTTCAGTCGCTCAGTCACATCCAGCTCTTTGTGACACCATGGGCTGTAGCCTACCCAGGCTCCTCTGACCATAGAACTCTCCAGGCAAGAATACTGAAGTAGGTTGCCATTCCTTTCTCCAGGGCTTCTTCCCGACCCTGGGATTGAACCTGAGTCTCCTGCATTGCAGGCAGATTCTTAACCATTTGAGCCACCAGGAAAGCCCCTAATTCCATCTCTGATTTTATGCTAAGCATGTACTGTGTGTGTGTGTGTGTGTGTGCTCACTCAGTCATGTATGACTCTTTGCAGCCCCATGGACTATATAACCTGCCAGGCTCCTCTGTCCATGGAGTTTTCCGGGCGAGAATACTGGAGGGGGTTGCCATTTCCTTCTCCAGGGCACCTTCCTGACCCGGGAATTGAACCTGTGTCTCTTGTGTCTCCTGCGACACCTGGGAAGCCTGTGTTATGCTTCCCATTTACTGTGTCAGGGACTCCTTACGATGCTCCTTTGATAGGAAATTGCCAGTTGAGAGGCACAGAGAGATGTGCCTGTGACTCACCCAGGATCACACAGCTAGAAAGTGTCAGAGGCAAGTTTTGAGGCCCGTGGCTTCTGACTCAGAGTCCCTGCTCTTACGCCATCCTCTGCTGCCCCCTATGATGAATTCTAACCTGTCTGGAAGTGTTGAAGAGGTTGTAGGATGATGCAAAGTCTGTGGGTCCCGGTGGTCAGCTAGGAGGGTCGTAGTAGTAGTCTTGGGTCAGGAGGAATCTCAAGAGGTTGAGAAAAGTGAGAGGAACTTCTGACCTGGGGAGATCGCTGGTAGAGATGAGGAGGGGAGACCTTCACAGAAGGTGGAGAGGAGGAATCTAGACAGAGCTTCTGGTCCAACAGGCTCCACGTGGTGTTTAGTGTACAGAAAGTGTGGGGAACTGGGTTGAGATCTTGCTGTGGTGCTCGAGCCTGAATCGTCTGGATGGAGGGGAGCCTAGAAGGTTTGGGGCAGGAGGGGTGCTAACCCTGGGAGGAATGTCCTAGGAAGTCACGTGCGGTCCCGCACCTTCAAACGCAGCTTAGGTGAGCAGGCAGACCCTGGAGGAGAGCGGGCATCTCGGGCTGGGGGCTGTCTGCACAGGGAGACGAGTACCAGTGATGCTGTCTTTGCAGCCACAGCTCCAGAGCAAACCCCGGCCCCACCCCGGCCGTACCAGGGCGTGCGCGTGAAGGAGCCGGTGAAGGAGCTGCTGCGGAGGAAGCGGGGCCACGCCAGCAGTGCGACGTCGGTGACGCCGACTGCGGTGTCGGTGACGCCGACTGCGGTGAGGGGGCCGCTGTGATCGGAGTGTGTGTGTGTGTGTGTGTGTGTGTGTGTAGGGGGTGGGGCGTGGTCCAAGGGGGTCAGGCGGGGTGTATGTCCCTGGTCCATGGGCTCCTCAGTGAGGGTATGAGGACCACACGTCGCAGAGGTGTGGCTGCTGGAGATTGGGCCGAGGGCAGAAGAAGTTGAGGCACTTGAAGTGGGGTGAGGAATCCCACTTGGGCAGCAGTGGTCTCACACGTCCTGATGGGATTTGAGGGTCCCCCTGGCACAGGGTGAGACCTATTACCCAAGTGCACAGCATTCTTGCTCAAGGGAAACACCTGTCCCCTGGAAGGTATAGGTGGTGCTGGTTGGGTCGTGGGGCAGGTGCTTGTTCTGACGAGGGGGGTTCTTGCCCTCTATCCGCCTCCTCTGTTGCCCTGGGACCCTCTGGGCGAGCTTCCTGCAGGCGGCTGGCTGGAGGTGGCTGAACCCTGCGCCCCATCTTCCTTCCCCCTTCTAGGTGATGCTGCCCCACCAGCCCCTGGCGACCTACACCGCAGTGGGTAAGAGCTCCCCGCGGCCCCGGCCTCCTCCCAGCCCCCCGTCTGGGTGTCCCAGGCAGCTCTGTAACTTCCTCCTTCCCGCAGGTCCTTCCTGCCTTGAGATGGAGGTCTCTGCCTCCACAGTGACGGAGGAGGGGCCCCTGTGCGCGGGCTGGCTCTCCCAGCCCGCCCCCGCCGCCCTCCAGCCCCTGGCCCCGTGGACGCCCTACACCGAGTACGTGTCCCATGAGGCTGTCAGCTGCCCCTACTCGGCTGACATGTATGTGCAGCCTGTGTGCCCCAGCTACACGGTCGTGGGGCCCTCCTCGGTGCTGACCTACGCCTCCCAGCCGCTTATCACCAACGTCACGGTACGTCACACGAAGGCATTTATGCGGAGGGCGCCCTTCTAGGACCTGGGCTGATTTCCTGCCTCTGAGCTTCCTTGCTCTTGATGCCCAGGATAACAGATCATCTAAGCCCACCCTGTCCTCCAGGGCAGAGTATAAGGTTATCTGACACTAGAGGCAGAACTCAAAAAACTACCCTGTAGGTGGTTCTCACTCCATCCAAAGTGTAGTTTTCTGAAAAGTTGTGTCACGTGTTGCTCAGCCTAGAAATTTTCTTACAAACCCCATTATTGGGTGAATGGTCCTGGGAGGCCTTCTTTCATTCCCAGTGACTTCAAAGGTCTCCCATACAAAGGCTGACAGCCTCCTTTATCATGCCTTATGCTCCCTGGGCTGGCACGCTGACCCGCCAGCTGGTCTGCCCTGACTCCCCTGCTGCCTCGGACACCGCGAGCCTCAGGGATGGTTCTCAGTTTTTCCTGAATGGGGAACCAGGTGAAGTTTGCATGGGGTCTCTTGCCAGCGCCAGCCTCTCCTTTCTACTCAAATGATTTAGGGGGTGGCTATTCACCCAATAATGGGATTTTTCAGAACATTTCTAGGCTGAGCAACATGTGACACAACTTTTCAGAAAACTGTGTTTTTGATGGAGAGAGACCCACCTGCAGGGTGATTTGTTGAGTTCCACCTCTGGTGTCAGGTTGTCTGACACTCTGTCCCTTCATTCACTAGCTTTGTGACCCCAAGCGCAGTGACTTAATGCTCTGAATCTCAATGTTCTCATCTGTAAAATGGGAATACTAACGAAAGGGTTGATGTCATGATCGATGGCCTGATGCACCTAGACTGCTTAGAATACTTCTTGGGCTCAGCCTCGTTTCCAGAATACAGAAAGCACTCAATAGATATGAGTTATTATGGTTGCCTCAGAGTTGACCAATAGCATAAACCAAGTGCTATCTTCAAGTGCTGGATAGGAAAGAAAGGGTTTGCTCCCCTAGGAATGGAGGAAGGAAGAGAAATAGTTTTATGTGAATGGTGCCTGTTTGACCAAAGGAATGGGAATCTCCCAGGTGTTCAGAGGGGAAAAGACCAGTGGTTACAGCCATATCCAGCACCAGTCCAAGGAAGGCTGTGGGAGGCAGAGCGAGGCTCTCATGAGTCACTGCAGAGCCCATCCATGATGAGCTTGCTTTGGTCCCCCCAACCCCCTCTGTTTACCTCAAGGTCCAATGTCGTCCTGAAGCTCCTCCCCTTCAAGCACCACCCAGATCTGGTTGCCGGACTCCTCCCCCTCCACGCCCACCCGCTGCTCAGCAAACCAGTGGTGGGATCTGAATGGTGGTGGATGAGAAGCAGTTCATTCAACACCCCTCCCAGGCAGCTCATTTCCATATTGGAGGCCTAGGGTGGGGGTGGGGAGTGGTGGACACAATGGTTCCCAACCTTTTCAGGATCAGGAATTCCTTTCATTATTTATTCTTTTCATCAGTCCTACGTCTTGCTTTGAAAAGTTCTGTGTATCAAACAAACCATATTTATTAAGAAATAATTTATTTGTTTTGCCATTCTGTAAATTAACTCATCAAAGCTGGTTAGAGCTAACAATTTCCACTCCTGATCCGCAGGAGATAAGACCTGTATGAAGGGTTGATGTAATTCTATCCCTGAGCCAAGAAACCTGCAGTGGTAGTTGACCTGCCCAGGTTTATGTAGGATTTCCATTTGGATTTTTTAAATACTAGAAGTGATAAGGTTTTGTTGGGAGGCCGAAAGTCCTCTGAGACCCTTTCCGGCTCTGTTATTCTATAGAAAAATACCCTAAAGCCTTGCTACTCAAACTGTGATCCTTGGACCAGCTGCATTGGTATCACCTGGGATCCTATTAGAAATGCAGATTCCAGGTCTGATCAGACCTCCTGTACCAGAATCTGCATTGCAGCAAGGTCCCAGAAGATTGAAATAAGCTCTTCCCCAGTGGTAAAGAATCTGCCTGCCAATGCAGGAGACACAAGAGACGTGGGTTCAATCCCTAGGTTGGGAAGATCCCCTGGAGTAGGAAATGGGAACCTGCTCCGTTATTCTTGCCTGGATAATTCCATGGACAGAGGAGCCTGTCTGGTCACAAAGAGTCAGACATGACTGAACACACAGTACTAATGACTCTAATAGTTTGTTCTCAAGACAGAGTGTTGGCCACTGGAGGAAATGTGACAGTGGACAGAGGGTGATGGGGGAGGTTTTGGCCTCTTACACACACATCATTCCTTGCAAAGACAGCCCTCCCCTCCCTCCTTCCTCATCAGTGGCATCCAGGCCCTGGTTTTGGCAGCTTGAGCTGGGACTTGTAGGATGGCTGCCATGCAGGTGAAAGATACTGTTTACAGAGCGCCTGGGAGAATGGCCCTGACCTTTGGCGGTCCCTAGAAAGGCCTCAGGGGACCCAGCTAAGCAGCAGCAGAGGCTGAGGTAATGGGAAGCTAGAGGAGCTGAGCTCAAGGGGTCCTCAGGATCCCACACCTGCTGTGTGGAGCCAGGGCAGTCTTTGTGTCTAGGCACAGCAGTGGCCACTTGGCAATGCAGCTGCTCTGCCGTGTGACAGGCTTGTTGTTTAATACACTGTTTTCTCATTGATTTTAAGATGCATGTCACCCCTCCACACACATATTTTGATATCTCTGAAATCTGGATGCATTTTCTATTCAGTGAAATCTGGAAAAGCATCTGTTCTTCGCTCAGCCCTGTGATGCCAGTCCTTTGGGTAGTCTGTTTTACAGATGAGAAAGCAGAGGCTTCAGGTGGGGACGTATGAGAGGGCATGTACCTAGTGAGTGACAGAGTAAGGGATGTGGAAGTTTGGCTTGGGGGAGGCTTTGCACAGGGGAAGGCAGAGCCCTCTGGAGTGAGAAGGGCTGAGGGGAGGGAAACAGAGATCCCGCAAGGACCGGGGTGAGCAGTGGGTAGCCAGGGCTGCTAACCACCCTGCGTCTCATCACAGACGAGGAGTGCTGCTGCGCCCACCGTGGGGCCCCCGCTGGAGGGCCCCGAGCACCAGGCTCCCCTCACCTACTTCCCGTGGCCTCAGCCGCTGTCCACGCTGCCTACCTCCACCCTGCAGTACCAGCCTCCAGCCCCAGCCCTGCCTGGGCCCCAGTTTGTCCAGCTCCCGATCTCCATCCCTGAGCCAGTCCTTCCGGACGCCGAGGACCCCAGGAGAGCCATTGGTTCCCTGACCATCGACAAGCTGCTTTTGGAGGAAGAAGATAGTGACACCTATGCGCTCAACCACACGCTCTCCGTGGAAGGCTTTTAGGGCTGGCGCCCACCAGAGAGCTTCCTGTTCAGCACGCTGTTTCCTGAAACGGATTTAAAAATGAGCCTGGGATCAAAGCCTCAGATTCATTTCTGCTTGAAGTTGCCATTTCATAACTACACTTTCTACTCCAAACTAGAATTGTAAACCAGACTTTCTCCCACCCTCTCTCCCTTCTTCCAGCCCTCCCCATTTTTCTTACTCACCCTTTTTTATTTCTTTTTCCATTTCAGTTCCCTTTGAGGAAGGCATTAGGGATTTTAAAGATAAGATTTGATGGCAGGTGTTGCCTAATTTCTGTGGCCCAGGATTTTCACTTCTGTCACGTTCCCTTCCTGGAGAAGGCCCCTTTCTTCAATGCCCCCCACTTCACGGTAGCCAGCAGCCCCGCTGAGCTGTCTGCAGGCAGTGACGTCCCATGCTTTGTCGTTTTGAGATGGACGGGATGCCCTGTGAGAAGACCAGCCCTGCCAGCATCTCCAAGCGCAGAACCAACGCCGGAGGCCTTGAGTGTCAGTTCCCACAATTGCTCCTTTGTTTGCTGTTCTCAGCTTTGGCCAGCTCTACAGTCTAGGTGTCAGGGTCTCAAGGCCTGGGGCTCAGCGAGGTGATGGTGGGGGGTGGGAAGGAACATCAGAGTGGATAGGGGCTGGACCGGGGCGGGGGGTGGACAGAGGCGGGATGGGGACTTGGAGTGCGTACATGGGGGAGGGTGTGGGGGCAGGGGAGCACAGAAGGACTGAGGAATGGTTTGCTTTAATTACTTGGTTATTAAGAAGGGGAATGTTCTTAAGAAAAATATAGCTTTAATAGATGGTTTTGCTGCTCTTCTTTAGGATACTTGCAAGGCCAGCTGAGTTTTCGTAAACAGAATGATTGTATATGTCTTTCCATGTCCAGACCCAGCGGGGCTGAGTGCAGGCCAAGATCCACTGAGACCATGGTTACTGGGTCCTGGCTGAATGCGGCCAATGTGCCTCTTGAACTGCCATAGACCACGCTTGTGTGGAGACAAGACCTCCCCGCCAAGCACCATCCTTCCTGGGGCTTCTAGAGCCTCAGTCAGAAGGACGGCCAGGTTTCATTTCCATTTTTGTTTTTATTTTTTTGCTGGAGAAACATCAGATTTGCAGGGACCCGAGCATATATTTGCCACCAGGGTGCTCATCTCCCGACAGTGGCTGTATTCGTGGGAAACTAGCATTAGTTGGAGGACTCCATATAGAAGTAATGGACTCTTCTGGGGAGTGACATAGATTTGCCATTTTAAATAACATTTTGGAGAAAAATTGCCTTTTTTTTGGATTTTTTTCTGCTTTGGGTTTATTTTTGACTTAACTTTCTGGTATCTGCCTAAAGTCCCCAAAACAGATATCTTGAATTGTTTTATTCAGACTTAATTTTTTTTAGATTTAAAAGCTTAATATAGCATTTTAGATAACAAATTTCCATCTTCGTTGGCAGTGGTGTGAGTAGGTAAGAGAGAAGGGAGTCTCAGGCCTGTTTGATCAAAAGCCCTGGTTTCCTATAAAAAAACACTATGCAAGATTTTCCCACTTACTATTTGAAGCTTTGAGAACGTGCAGAAGCAGTCTCTATTAGGGAGTTTAAGTCAGCAAAACTAGCAAAGAAATAAAATAGAATACTTGACTTATTTGCTAAGATTGAAGGCGTGTTTTTTTTTTTTTTTTTCCTTCTTTTCTTGAGGTCATATATCTTGGTTGTAACCATCCATCTACGTTTCTTCCTC